AAGGTATGACTCTGGTTTCCTAGTAGAAGCTGGGTTATTTGAGAAGAGAAAAAATACCTAATCTCTCCCTCAACTTTGCCACATTCCCACAGTGAACAAGGGTGCCCCCCCCCCCCTCCGCAAAGCCTTGCTGGCAACAGCAGGCCCTGGATGCCCCTTGAGTTGCCAAGCTGCACTGAATTTTGTTGATGCCCATTGCTGCCGAAGTCACACTGGTGGCTGGCTCCCTCATGACTTCTGGATTATGTTGATCCGGAGGACTAACCCTGGCCCTATGTTCACCAGAAAATGGGGCTGTGCACAGTAGGGCTCACAGGTTGTAATAGGCAAGTGCCAGTCGTCATAGTGAAGTGACCACCAAGCAAGCAGCACCCCAGAATGTGTGCAGTTTCCACAACTTGCTGAGCACAGCACCCTTCTGCACACCCTCTAAAACTCGTAAGATGCAGAGGACCCAGAGGGTGGGGCAGAGGCTGGTAGGGTATCCCAATTCCAGCTTACAGTCTCACACGGCTGCCATCTTCAAACTTAGGAGGACAGCAAGACATGGGGCAGGCAGGCTGCAGCTTTTGTGCACATGGCTATCAGTAAGCCTGGGTGTAGGGATGAGGCTGGTTGTCATGGTGGGGAGCAGATGTGCTGGGTTTGAGCTTACAGGGTCTATAGAATCGGGAACTGGCTAGAAGGAGCATGTAGTATCCATGGCATACATGGCAGGGCAGAAGTTTGCAACCTTGTAACATATTTGTGACCACAACAGACCTAGGCTCAGAGTGTAAGAGCCAGACCCCTGTCTCCCTGTTGAGATGACAGACAGGAGTCTCCCCAGAACGGTTCTACAGCCTGGCAGTTGCCAGCTACTTTTGTTTTTGTTTTTGTTTTTCAGGGTTTCTTCTTCGAATATTCCTGGCTGTCCTGGAACTCACTCTGTAGACCAGGCTGGCCTTAAACTCAGAGATCCGCCTGTCTCTGCCCACTGAGTGCTGGGATTAAAGGCATGCGCCACCACCGCCTGGCTTCATCTATATTTATTTAGCCATGGGAGAGGCAAAAGGATTGGAGTAGTCATATTTCTGGTACAGAGGGGTCTGCTGGGAAAGACCTGGAGCACCAGGCAGACTACATCCTGCATGGAGCATTACAAGTGGTCACACACACCAGCAGCTGACCTAGTCCTACCAGACCCCGTGTTCCCCACTACACTCGCCCCCTCTTTGAGCTGTTATGTCCATTTTACTACTCCATCCCCTCCTACTTAGCACACTGCAGTTGTTCACTGGGTATTTACTGCTATGAGTTCCGGCGTGATCCCGGTAAGTAGAAAATAGGAAGGGCAGGTCAGTCACAAGAACTGCTTCTCGGTTCATTTCGACATGGAGCACAACACTGGGTGTCCCCCTGAAGGAGAGAGAAGGGGAGATTGCTGCACAGCAGCCTTCATGAAGACCCAGCCTCAAAGACAAAGACAGACCAGGCTGTTCCTCCCAAACAAGACGCTACACACTCCAGTTATTTTACCTGCACTCTTTGCTCTACGCTGGTAAGGCTCTAACGACACGTGCTCACAAGTTCTACGCCATGGTCCTGGTCAAAGGCCAAGCGAACCTCACAAGTTCCTACGAATATTATCTCATCCCACACCAATTCCCAAGCTCTCAAAGAATTGTTTAACTATATTTGGATATCCAACAAGGAAAGCCGTCACTGTTACTTGTAAGGGATGTCAGAAAACGTGTTCGTGCTCTCTTGTTCTTGATGGAGCTGAGAAATTGGTAATTTTCAGAACATTCTAGCTTTTAAACATTACCATAGCTCCCTGTCATGTGGCTGGCCCATCATCAAAACTCTAGGGACAGGGCGATTCAACATGTAGACAGACTAAACACCACTCAACTGCGGACTACATGCCAAGCGAACGTCAGCACGCTCCGCCCTCTGGCCACTCTCCAAAGTCCTTTCTCACACCACTGAGAGCAAACTCACAGACCCTTCTCCGCAGGCTGAGCCCAGGGAACCCCGAGCACTCGTTCTGTGCATACGGTGTCCACGGGGGCTCCCCACGAAAATGCAGGCCGGACATGGCAGGTACAGCCCACATTTACACAGAGCAAAGAGCTAGTTTAAATTTCTAGTTTAGTCATTTATTTCACGATAGCACTAAGGAGTCAAAAGCGGATAAACTAGAGATCACACAGGCTGCCAGGTACGCATGGCACACTGTACGCCTATAATTCCAACAGTTGAGAGTCAGACAAGAGCAGCCTGCTACATGAGACTTTGCTTCAGAAAGCCAAACACAGACAGACACCCGACAGCCTCTTCTGCAGCAGGCCAAGGGCTATCCAGGATCTGAATCCAGGATTTCAACGCTCTGGACCATCAGGAGCGATGGTATGGTGTCTGGTACTGACATCCCACCTGGCCAGGGCTGGACTTGCTGGCATGTCTTTCGGTCTGTGTTTCTATTAGTTCATCAACACCAGTGTTTCCAACTCTGTGTTACACACTTCCCCGAGATGACACAGCTTGGGATATTAGCAGACTTGGGAAGGACCTTATCCAAGACTCTGGAAGGAGCTGGAATGACGGCTATACATGCCTAGCTCCACACAACAGTACTGGGCACTGCTCCCCAAGTTCCTTCCAGACTACCCCCACAGGACACATACCCCAAGAGCTCACACGCCAGCCAAGCTCTGGCTTGGAGCCCAAATTTAGCTCAGAAGATAGCTTTCAATAGATGTCACATTGTTTGCTTCGGATCTTCCTAGGGCTCTTAGAATCTGTGTGTGGATGGCAGCAAGTGCCTAGCCCTGCTGTGGTAGCTGCTGACACCACTGGGCCTCTGATTGACAGCTACTTTAATGGGTCTGTGGGAAATAACGATTGGGGAGAAAACACGACCATGCTAGTAACAAGCTATATGGTCTTTTAAACTGGAACCCATACACACATATTTCTGTAAGCCTATATAAGCAGTAAGCAAGATGAAACAAAAAGAGAAGCCCTACCTCAGGCTCTGTGCCACCATCACTGGCCAACTTGTCCACCAACTAAAAACAGTGTTCCCAGAGCACCTACCACTGTGGACAGAAGCCAGGTGGCTCTCCGGCCACACTGAGTGCACTATATGCATTCCAGCTGGGGGACAGCTCCCCGGCATAGGCCAGGAGCATGCTGGGAAACACTGACCTCCCTCCATGGTAAGGACTCAGCAAGTGCAGTCAGTACTGAGCGTTGATGCTGTAAGGTGAGCCATTACCACCTCGGCTTTCAGGCCAAAGGGGCCTGTGGGAAGTCAGGAAGACAAGGCTAGCCCATCTCTGCCATTCCTATTTCCTTTTTCCATGGGTGCTCACAAACATGTCGAGTAGAACCTAAGCCACCTTGCGGCTTGTCCATAACACATGATGCTGCTTTTTTTTTTTAAAGATGTATTTATTTTATGTATATGAGCATGCTATTGCTGACACACTAGAAGAAGGCATTAGATCTCATTATAGATGGTTGTGACCTACCATGTAAGTGCTGGGAATTGAACTCAGGACCTCTGGGAAGAACAGTCAGTGTTCTTAACTGCTGAGCCATCTCTCCAGCCCCACGATGCTGCTTCAAAGTCCCTATCAGAGACTTATCAAAGGACGGAGACCCTGGCTCGGTGGTGGGAGATGGGAGTCGCAGTCATCTGTGGACTATGCTAAGAGCCCGTGATTGTCAGCACCAGCACACAGGCCAACGCCCCTGCCAGGATGGCAGCTCTGCATAGACCCAAGCCGGCTCCTCCACCCGCTCCTCTCTTCCTGGCTCATAAAGGGCTGAGTAATCTAAGCAAGAAGCTACCTGGACTGCAACACTTAGAAAACTTCATTTTGGCCAGGATTCCCATCAAATTACATACAGTTCAGACTTACGGTGTCTCGTGCTTAATCAGAAATTCAGTCAAGACAATAAACTACAGAAGGCAGTTGGAGTTTTGTGGATACTCTGAATTTACAAGAAACAATCCGTCTGATTGTTGTCTGAATTGAAGTTAGGCCTAACCTGGCACAAAGATGCCAATTTAGGACATTGATTTTACCACACTAAGGGCAGGCCCCATGTCCAGCATTTGGTCAACAGAAACCAAACTCAATGGTATTTCTATGGACTTTTTTTGGTCTCACATTGCTTTGTTTGGATATTTTTTTCCTTAATAGTCCTTTGTATATTAATTATCGTTTCTGGGTTTTTATGGAATTTGTTTTGTGTCTTTGTTTCTTGTGTATGTGTGTGTGTTTTAATTCTAGTTTGGTTTCTGTTTTCGAATGGGAGGGGAAACTGTGATCATAGTATCTTTGGAAAAATTCAAGTTCAATAAATGGAAATGGGAAAAATATATTTTTTTAAAGTGATGGCTGAAGAGATGGCTCAGTGGTAAGAACACTTGTTGCTCTTGTACAGGACTTGAGTTTGGTTTCCAGAACCCACACGGTGGCTCACAGCCACCTTCGGTTCCAGTGCCAAGGGACCCATAGTGTACATGCATATATGTAGGCAAAACCAAAACAAAAACCTCATACAGGTAAGGAACTAATCTAAAAGAAACTAAAAGGATATTTCTGTGGGTTTTATGGTCTTAAAGCAGGCCTTGGCACCAGGACCTTTGCCTTCATACAAAGACTTCTGTATTTGAGTGTGTGATGTGTCCTTACGTAGAGCCATGATGGACGATGATATTGGGATGGATTTTTGTTCATGCTAAGAGCAGGTGAAGCACAACTGAGTTATCAAATTCCCTGATGCCCAGTCTACAGACCCGAGCACTGTTGCTGACTCGCAAAATGGGAGACGAAAGCCATGCTGGGCTGCTCCTCATGTTCCCATTACAGGTGACTGCCTGCTCAGGAGCTATGCCGGAGTTCCTCCTGGATGGAGGAAGCTGCTGATTACAGACATCCACCAAGAGTGGGCTAGGTGCTTGGTGATCGGTGCTCGGACCATCTGTGCCCTAGGGTACTTACCCAGCCTCAACAGAACTGCCGGGACTTCCAACCCTGGGAAGTAGCCTCGGAGGGAGGGAGCCAGCGCATCTGAAAAGACAGGAAAAGCTATGAGCCAGGGGTCCTACCTCATTCTTGGTCTTTAGACCCCCTCGCTGCTCCAAGATGGGTCAGTTCACACTGGCCAGGGTGGTATTTCCTGTCCAGGGGTGGAGAAGTCCCACAGTAGCACCCTGAATCTCCACATGCCTCATGAACACCAGCGAAACTCAGGGCAGCCCACTTCAGCCAGTACTGAGAAGTTCCTGCAACTGCCCTTCCTTTTCAGAGCTCACAGCCTTTACAGGCCAAGTGTGGCCACCACGATTCTCCTCTAGATACTCCCTAAGCTGGGGAGACTTAATTAAAACATAAACAAAGGGAAGGGCAATTCATGACCTCTCCTGAGACTGCTCTGGCTGGAACTGAACTTTCTCAGAGAACCTGTTCTCTTAGGAAAAGGGTCAGCTTCCTGGCATGCTGTGTTTACCAGGCACCAAGAGTCACTTGTAGTCTGTGACAGAGCTAGACAAAGGTCAACAGTAGTGTTGCCTCTCCTAACCAACCTAACACAGCCAGAGGGAACACTTCCTCCATGTGGAAGGATGTTCAGGGTCTCACACTACGCAAAATCTGAACGAGAAGGGCATGTAAAATTTATTCTTAAACACCTGTCCGCTGACAATGCCAATTTTGTCTGTAACCTGTTGGACAGAAGGAGGAATGTTTACCAAAATTCCATCCATCATCCTTTTTTTTTTTTTGAGACAGGGTCTCTCATAGCCCAGGCTAGCCTCTAACTCACCCTGAATTACTCTTGAACTCCGGTTCCCTGTCTCATTCAAGACAGCCTGGTTTACCAGGCTAACTCCTCCCACTGAGGACAATGAGCAACTCGAAAGTGCTTCTGGGACGAGGAAGATGTAAATGACAGCAAAGAGGGGAACCTTGGGAAGTGGCAGAGGGACCTCGACCGAGGCAGGAGGTTTACTCCGGCTCCTCAAACATCAAGATGAAGCAGGAGTCACCCTGGCTGTGGTGGAGGAACAACTGGGCCGGAAGCAGCCTGCAGACAACACTACGAGGACTCAGGACCGTGGGGCTGGAGGAAACCTGCTGTCCCAGAGTCCAGCTCAGAAGGCAGAACCAGGCACCGCTAGATCCTGCCAGCGACTTGGCTCTAAAGGCCGAGAAGCCAAGGAACTGGGTCTTAGGGAGAAATTAATTCTTGCTCTGGTCTCCAAGCACTCCTTGTGGCTTCGTTCCAAATCAAGGACCCCATGATAGTAGCCACGTCCCCTAGCTGCCGGTGCAGGAGGGGCCCCACTGGGGAATTCCACTCCAACTTCGGAAGACTCCCGCTCTGAACTGGCAGATATGTGACTCAAAGAAACCAAACCAAACCAAACCCTAAGGATGAAGTGTCAGCTTTCTACATCAGAATCTACCTCAGGCCATCTCACACACTAGGCTTCCTCGGGGGACCATGTCAGATGTTATTTCCAGAGGCTCAAAAACTATGAGGGCAAAGTCATTGTTGGGGAGCCATAGGAGCCCCCGAAGACCCTGGAAGCCAGGCAGGCATCTTTCCCATCAGTCATGGCAGAAAGGGGTGAGAAATCAGAAACTTATCGCTGGAGACAAACACCCACACTGAGCGTCTGTGGAGCAAAAAGGACCCATAAACAGACAGACAGACAGACAAGAGGGGACAGTGTGGAAAAGAGGTGAGTTAGGAAGGCTAGAGGCCAGGAGCAGGAAGGTGGAAGGGCAGAAGAAACAAGTACCTACCCTTGGCTCCTGGCTCTTCATCCCAGTCCATTTGCTCACTAAGCAGAGAGCAGAGTTGGAGCTGCCTTCCCGAGACAGCCAGGAAAGGGCAGCCTCGGGGCCAGAGCCCTCAGGCAAGGGATGCTGGGAACCTAAACCCAGCTGGGGCCGTGTGCACTGGGGTCAGTGTGGAGCAGTGTTGGTGGTTGTGCGGCCTGGGTGTGGGGTGGGGATGTCAGGCCCTGAGGCCACCATGGCAGAGTGTTCACCAAGGAGGACACAGGGAGGGGCTGGCAGGGAGGACAGTGAGTTGCAGGGTAGATGGCATGGGTCTGGGACTGGTGACGGTGACTGAGAAAAAGAGGCCTCCTGGCTGTCTGCTGCCCTAGCCTCCCTGGCTGCCTCTGTTCCAGTGCTCCCCACACCCCTTTGAGAGCAAGCGACCCCCCCCACACACACACGCATGCACACGCACACACCCATACCCTCAATCATGTAGTTGCTAATGGAGAAAAGATGGGCTCCCAAATCTGTGTTCCAAGACAGCAAGGCGCTTGCTGTTTTCAGACACCCGAGGCACCCACCTTCCAGCAGGGGGCAGCTCGTGATAGGTCAAACTGGGCTGCTTACTGTTCTTGTACCCCACAGAGGGGCAGAGTCCGAGGGGCACAGCCAGGAGTGTGGGCAGCTGGCCCAGGAGAACACGCTGTTTTGTGCTAATCACAACTGTTTGCGGGGTGGCTGGGAGAGGTTTTACCTTTCCCCCATTTGGGGCTGTTTGCTCTGCTGTAGCTTTTGGCCCCAGGTCATTCCTGTCATGCCCCGGAGCCTGCTTGAGCCCTCTTGATTACTGAGGGGGGCCATAGGCTTTCCCAGACTGGCTCAACCTCAGGTCTTCAGTAAGAGTTACGTATACATTGTAGCTGTGGAAGACAACTCAACTGTCATCCTGGCCATTTCTGCACAATCAACAGAAACATGTGCAGGAAAACACACACACACACACCTTACTCATATGCCTACATACGATTCTAGGGGTTTGAAGTCCCCATGAGAACTTCTAACAAAATATTAACTAACATAAACCCCGACTAAGTCTGTGGCAGACAGAGACAGTGTCAAGTGTAGCAGACTGAGAAGCCTAGAGGCTTGCGACATTTCTCAGTAACAGTGATTCAGTTCCCTGCCTGGGGCCACACGGTGTAGCACTCAAACACTTCTCACAGAAAGGCAACTTTGGCAGGTTCCAATAACCCACCCCACCCACCCCCCATAGTGACAGAGCAGACAGGACGAGCAGATACCTGGGCAATAATTGGGAGGGGAAAAAAAAAAAAGAAACCATGCTAGAGATAGATCCGGAATTAAACACGACAGCTAAGCACCACACAGAATTTACGTTTCCGCCAATGAGGCGAAGGACAGAAAGACTGACCATCTCCAGGGTAGAACTCTCACTCAACCCACCATCCCTGGCCCCTCGTGCACACCAAGCAACAGACGGCAGGGCCAACTGTCATTCACTTTGATCGTCCCCTCTCTAGTGACTGAGTCCAGTATCACTGTCCTCTTTAGATTCCAACAGTGATGAGGAAGGCTACCAGGCATGGCTATCAGTACAGTTAGCCAACATCCTTTGCTGGCTTTTTCCTTGGGCTTTCAGAAATGCAGTCACTCTAGGGCTACAGCCCAAATCATTTAAAATGGAGCCCTTTCATTTGTTCATTTCCATGAATGTGTGAGGAAGGATGACAGCCTGGCCGGGCGTGCCGATTCCCAACCAGGCCTGGTGGCGAGCACTTTCACTCACTGACCCATCTCACTTGCACTTCAAAGTGCCCTCTGGACTGCTGGCATGCGCAGATACGAGGCACTGCTTACTGATCTTCAAAAGGGTGACTGGAAGACGACCCATCTCGAAAGGCTCTCCAGCCCAGAAAGTTGGAGAGCAACACACCGTGTCCTGGGGATGACTGACACAAAGCAGTGTGTGAAAGGCATTGCTGTGATACGGAGGGACTTGTTCCACTGACTCCCTGGGCATCCCAAGGTCATCTGACTGCAAAATCTTTTGATTCTCCGCCAGCTATTAGTAGCCATGGAGCCGAGGGAAGGCAGTGTGGGGCCCGGTCAGTGGTGAGGAGGTCGAGGTGTCCGTCCAATGTGCCATCCAAACTTCCTGGTCTAGCGGCCATCCCCTTTGACTGATACCCTGAATTCCCTTCCTGGGACGTGATTAAGTCCATCCTCTTAGCTTAGCAGCTAGAGATGGACCAAGTGAGAGCTTCTTGGCTATAGCCAAGAGCTGGTACAGACAAATAATCCTAGCACTCAAGAGGCTGGAGCAGGAGGATTGCTGAGAGTCTGAGGCCAACCTTGAAGGCAATGGCAAACAATATCTCAAAATACCAAAAAGGCCCAGCCGAAGGAGGCTGGTCCTTCATAGATACCTAGAGAGGATAACAGTGTGTCGGTCACTGGTGTATGAACCTCACATTCACAGTCTGAGGATCACGAGTCCCCTCCTCAAAGACCAATCACGCACCGGAGAGCAAGAGCAAGTCCTTGGGACTCTCTCTCCTGAGTTTCAGCCCTCTCAGCTCTTCCTGGCTATTCTGAACACAAGTTAGGCTCCTGTTTCCAGACAGGCGTGTGAAATGTGCTGCAACAAATGCCTCCAAGTTCACTGAGACGCCACTCTGGTTGAGGGCACCCGAGCGTATAACACCCTGCGTCAGATTTGGTCCACAGTGGCAGCTTACCATCCGTATTTAATCTTGTCAGCTTGTTAATTTTTAACTATGTTTGCTAGCAAGGTCCATTAGAGGTCCCTGGGCGCCAAGCTCAGTGAGGCAGGCAGAACTCCTGCACAATATATGAAGTTTCAAGTTGGGGTGTCCCAGTTTCCCATCCTGTCACTGGGTCCTGGCCTTCCACACTGGCAGGGCAAGCTCTGAATAAAACATGATGCCATTTGGACTCAATTTTCCTTTTGCTCCCGTCAAAACTTGTTTGCTTCAAAGAGAAAAGTTCACTTTCTCCTTTTCGGAAGCTGGTGTTGGATAATTGCAAAGTTTCCACGCGGCTCTGGGTTGGTTTCCAAAACTCCCAAGTCACTTAACTGGATGTGCCTGGGGGCCCGTGCTGAGGGAAACAATCCATGGTGGAACCCCAAGTCACAAACTGAGTACCTGGGAGCCTGTGCCTAAAGAAGCAACTAGAACCTACAGTGGACCGTGTGGTGCCTCTCTGTCCACACCGCATGCTCCAGGGGGGTGTGC